ATCAAAAGATTGTCATGGTGCTGGTGCGCTGCGCCTTGGGGTCAGTGATGGCAGCACAGATGCCTCCATATGAAAAAAAGCCGGTGGTGGGTGTGACTGCCCGTTCTCAGTGCAGCTCGAGAGGTAGGTGGCCGTGAAAGGCGCCTACCTCCCGAGCTGCACTCAGACGACGAGGAGTATTTCCGAGAGGCGTACGTATTCAGAAACGCTCTTGGATTTATCTTGACTTACCACAGTCTCCAATGCAGCACAAAGGCGTCTCGAACGTGGTGTCGATCAGTAGTTGCCAATCGTTGCCAAGGCATGAAGCACAAACGCATCTCAAACAAGGAGGTTTAAAGAAAAATTGGTTCCAAACGTGCTGCAGTGCAAAGCGGTGACAAGTCAAGTTCTAAACGAAAAGGGGCAATACCTGTTACTTTGACTCATGTTTTCAACTTTGAACTCTTCTAGATTTTCAGGGGCGAAACTCCTTATAGCGGCACCCGTTCGTTCCCTGTAGTATGTAACAAATATAACATTTTGACCTCCAAGGTGGTGCCGGTGAGAGACATTTCTGTGCGTTGTTGAACAATAAAAATAGTGCTCAATGTACATGTCAATGGCTGCTAATGGGAAATGAAAGACAGGAGCATTCGGCTTTTAGTTAAAGTGCAGGTTGTGATCACCATTAGCAGCCATTGACATGTACATTGAACACTATCTGACAAGAAAGGGTTGCTACGTTATACTCGCTGGGTGTAACCTCTTTCGCCTTAGAAAGGCTTAGCGAGCGTTGACCGCAGTGCCATGAATACAATAAACTTGTATATACCATGCATGAACTCGAGGTGGTTAAAAATGGGAAGTAGATACGAAGCGCAAGCCGTAAGAAAGTAAAAGCCGAATTCTCCGCCTCTCATTTCCCATTAGCAGACATTGGCGTGTACATTGAGCACTATCTGACTGAAAAAACTCCCAAGCATTTTCCCGAGGGTGAACATAATTAAGTGCGAATACACGGGGTGATGCTATGAGGGGTATTTATCAATTCGCCCTATTATATTTATTAATCACACTATGGTGCCTTTATGGTGTAATGGTTCCTGGGAATCGCAATTTGATCACACGGGGGAGTTTACGTTAACTCACTGGCGAATGCCAACGGATTTTAACTTTACTCCCCCTCACGACCCGCTCTCGATGGGAGACTGAGAGAGAAGGTGGGCGCGCGAGAGAGAGGGATGCGCGCTGTTGCAGCGAGCGAGGAGGGCGGAGGAGCGAGCGAAGGGGAAGGGGGACGCGCACAGTGGCGTTAAAGATATAAGGCGCGTTACTGACACCGATATCAGCGTCGCGTCCGTGGCTTATTCGGTAGAGTGTCGCACTGCGGCCCGCCAAGTCCTCTTTCTTTTAAAGATAGAGAGAAGACTGCGGACGCTGCCGACAGCGGTGGATGGTTTGGGGTCGCCTTTAAAGTGTATTCACACCTAAAAGTTTGCTGCGTCATACTCGCTGGGCGTAACCTCCTTGGTTTTCGAAAGGTTTAGCGAGCGTTCGGCCGCAGTGCCATGAATACAGTGAACTAGTATTTACCATGAACTCGAGGTGGTTAAAGGTGGGAAGTGGATCCGAAGCGCAAGTCCTAAGAAAGTGTGCGTGTGCCAGCTCTCGTTTAGTCCTTGGAATGTCTGCTGGATGGCGGTGCTTCTATATGTGGAATATATGATGAAAAAATGCGAGATGGTGGTACTTGGAGTGTTGAAGAGATGGACGAACTGACACATAGACAGATGCATGGATGGACGCACGAACAGACGCACGCACGGACGCGCTGATGGACGCATGGACGGTCACACTGACGGACGCATGAACGGACGGAAGCAAGAATGAATGGACGGAAGAATTCTACGCCCCACTCTCCATCATTCACTCCCTGGATGTGCTGCCATTTTTTCCCCTCGATGCATTGTTTTTGTTATAAGTCATTATTTTTGTTTTCTTCCATCGTAAAATGTAATATAAATGCATATATATGTATACCCACTCCTGCCTACGGCTTGACATAGAAGTAGGCCGTATTGACTAAACAAATAAATAAGTGAGAAATTGACAGATCGCACGTACAGTGGGAATCGATGATATGCGAAGCACGAATAAAAAATGTTGATATGTCACTTTAATGTCAGCACAACGTTACGAGGTGGAGGTAAACGGTGCCGTATATGACTTTAGTTTCATGATTATCATGTTTGTACGTGCCGTTTACCTTCGTCATCTATTCACGTCACGTGATACCAAATTTAGTGTCTGTGGAGCTAGCGAAATGTCCGCGAGCAAGCTATGAGCATGGCATGTTGTCATGTTCTTAGATGACACGCGTGTCAGGATTATCATGTGTGTACCAATCATATATTTCGTCATCCATTGAACTTACGTAACACCAATATTGGTATATGTGGAGCTAGCGAAACAGCCGTGAGTGCATCATGAAGGGCCCAATTATCTCCAACGGAACGTTGACACGCGCGCACGCTAGGGACATCGACACTCCGTTAGCAAAACGCGTACACTCGATATTCTGACGCCAGGCGCGACCAGCGTACATCGGCGCAAAATGCGAGATGCTGCATATTGTGCCGATGCGTTACCCAGACAACACTGCGCCTCCCTCTTTTCGTGATGGAGGGACGCTGGACGCGATGAAACGCGCATTTGTGAAAGCAACGCAGCGCGGCGCGCGCCTGCAAGTATATGGCAGGACTGGCACCTTGCGTGGCAACGCCGGCATGACGCGACGAAATGAAGGCGGGCAAACATGCGCACCGTGTCACGTCGAAATGTATTAGCCCCTTGACTGCGGCATGTAGTCTTGTTCTCACATGATATGTATGTCATGATTATCAAGTTTGCACCAGTCACATACCTTCGTCATCCGATGGCGGCGCGTAATACAGAGTTTGGTACGTGTGAAGCTAGCGAAACGGCCGCGAGCGCATCATGAGCGTAGCACGTAGTAATGTAGGTACATGACACGTATCTCATGTTTATCATGTTAGCACCAGTATCACCTTCGTCGTCCATTCACGTCCCGTAATACAAAATTTGGTATAAGTGAAGCTAGCGAAACGGCCCTCAGTGCAGCATGAGCATGGCATGTAGTCATGTTGTTACATAACACGCATGTCATGATTATAATGTTTGCACCAGTCACCTTCGTCATTCATTCACGTATTTTAATACCACATTTGGTATATGTGACGCTAGCGAAACTGCCGTGAGCGCATCATGAGCGTGGAATCTTAGTCATGTTTTTACATGACACGATGTCACGATTTTCATGTTAGGGTCTGTCGCTTATGTTCACCATGCAATCATGCTATACGCTACCACTTTTGGAACATGCCATGTGAACAAAACCACCGCAAGAGCTGCAGGACTATGAAACGTCACTCATGACATATATATCATGATTATCATGTTATGACTAGTGAAATGTGTTCTTCATACAGTAATGTTATGCCATACTAAGTTTGGTTTCGATACGAATAACGAAACGGCCAGGAGAGCTAAAAGTCATAGGCGGCTAGATAGATAGATAGATAGATAAATAGATAGATAGATAGATAGATAGATAGATAGATAGATAGATAGATAGATAGATAGATAGATAGATAGATACGCTCAAGATCACAGAAGCTCGCTAAGAAATGCTTCGCATTTAAAAACAATTCTAAATACGGTGGAGAGATAGTGCACAATTCATTTTCTCTTTATTCTGACGATGTTTATCTTGTTGCGAATGCCGCCACGTAAATTTGACACTTTGCTCGAGCTGCTGTGCCCCACCTTTTTCAAGCCATCTGCTCCATAATAGCAATGGTGCCACAGACCCAGAGGAACTCACTCATTGGTACCTGGCGGCAAAACGCCAGCGCAATAAAAAAACAAAAAGAAACAAAAATTGAGCACCGCTGATTGGTTCTAGCAGATTTGCGACTGCAGTCACGCGACTAAAAAATCGGTCAGGAAGTGACTAACCAAAGCAGTCGCTTTGCGACCGTTTACGACCGTTCGCGACTGTTTGCGACCAGTCGCAAATGGTCGCGCGACCACTGCTAGTCGCTGGTCTGCACCAGCCTTTCTACTCGCAGGCTGGAGCCGCGCTGCGTTGCTTTTACACATGCACGTTTGAGAGCGCCCGGTGTCCCTTCATCACGAAGAGAGGAACGCGGTGCTGTCTGGGTAACGTCGTCGGCGCGAAATGCAGCTTGTCGCATTATTCGCCGGTCGACGCACAGCACGACCAGCTTCCGTGAGCGTGCCTACGGATCTACTGTTCTTCATTTATCTACTGTTCTGCGAGACCAGAATCCACCGGGCCGCGCTGATGAACGCTGGTAGCGCCTTGCGTCAAACTTAGCTCGCATTTTGCTAGCGTAGCATTGCTGCGCCCAGCGTTCGCGCGCGTCAGCGTTATCTGGGATGTATACCGGGCCCTTCATGATGCACTGGATGCCATTTCGCTAGCTTCACATATAACACTTTAGTATCACTTGACGTGAATGGACGACGAATGTAAATGACAAGTCTAAATATCAAAATCATGATATGCATGTCATGAAACGTGACTACGTGATCTGATCATAGTGCACTCGCGGCCTTTTTGCTCGCTGAACATATACCAAATTTAGTATCATGTGACGTGAACAGATAGCCAAGGTATACGACACGTGCAAACATAATTAACATGACATGGAAGTAATGTACAGCATAATTAATTGCCGTCTCGTACCGTTGTGCTGATCTTATAGTGACAAATCAACCTTCCTTATTCGTGCTTCGCATATCATCGATTCCCTCTGCATGTGGGATCTTCCAAATTCTTTCAAATGGCATTTATCTTGTCAACTTTGGCACTAGCAAAGCCGTGATTCAAACTGTTCTTGTTGAGTAAGCAGCCAGCCATGAGAAAAGTTTAGCAGCCTTTTGTCGTTGCATGCTTTTTCACCTCAAATAGCGGTGGACACAAGAAAGAATCCAGTCTTTGCTGCCGTTGTTTTTTCGAAGATGCTTGAGAGTGTTGTATCCAACAAGAAATGCCCTGAAATTGAGAAAAAAATTTGTGTGATGCAGTGAGTGCTGTCAAAGAACAAAATTGTTAAGCAATTTTCAATAAATGCTACTGTTCTTTGAGATTACTTTTTTTGGAATGAGTTGGTTGATTGTTTCCTCCTTTACTAGTTGATTAATTGAAAAACATGAAAAACTATTATTTTGTTGCAGTTTACGAAGGTGAAAGATGAGATTATATTACAGTAAATAATACACTCATAACTAACTCTTAGTTATGCAGATAAAGTTGCCTCACGCCTAATTTGTGTCACAGGTAATTCAGAGTGTAAAAGTACTTAGTAATTATTTACAACAATGAATTATTTTAATCTTACAGTCTTTGCATTTGCTCAAAGATGTAGTTTATGAAATTCAGAAAACTTGATTTGTTTTTCATATTGGACGACCTAGCACATAATGCCGTGATTTCATCAGAAGAAGAAATTAACGCGGGATGATGTTTTGCGTATATCTTTTTTTGTTGCATACAAGTATTGGAAATGGTCCGTTAAAACAGTGTGGGACACAAACTAGACCTTTTTTTAAAAAAAACACAAGCTAGTACACATAACAAAACTTTTCTCTTACCGCTACTGGATCGGCACAACGCAGATACTATTCGAACGGCACCGAACTATGATCTTTCATGGGGCTTCAAAAATTGTGTGCCATGATACTGAATAATAAAAAAATTATATATTTTCTTTATGATTGTGGTGACACACAGCTTAAGGTGAGCAGACAAACCTACACGACGGGAAATGAATAAAGTTATATAACATTGTATTTAGTGGAGAGAAGTAGTCACGCCAAATGGAAAAATTGTGGTCTTTCAATCATTAGGTGAGCCGGTTTCAGTTTTCAGATTTTGCAAAAACAGGCACCAAAAATTATCCCTGAAGAATAAAATCTCGCGGATTTTTTAGATGACGAACGCAATAATGTCACTGTTTGTGTCAAACAAAGTATGCTTGCAACGTGGGCTGTAGAATGCACGTGTCTGCTCTCAACGTACCCAATAAACAAAAACGTGTCCACTGCCAAAGATGCTCGATCAATGATGCCTGTCATCAGGTGGCCTTTGTACCTTTCGTGAGAATTCCCTAGAGATAAAAAGTTTGACATGTATAAGAAAAATATTTATTGCAAGACTGCGCCACAATAAAATTTTGAAGACCTAACGGTCATTGGGAACAGGTTTACTTATGATATATATCTACTGCTTGTTTCGATGATGTAAGCGTTATGTGTCCAAGGTAGCTTAGTTTATGGAAGCAAAGGCTCAAAAACGTTATGTGAAAAAGGTACGGTTGTGCTTCTTATTTCGCATATTTGATTTGACATAGTGTACTCATTTCAGGTGACTTATGTTGCGCAATGCTGACACAATCCCCGTTTATCCGCTTTGCTAAAATATGATAACGGTATTTACACCTTTTCTGTAACTTTTTGCTTTTTTCTACAAAGAAAATAGTTGGAATAAACTGCTGTGGCACTCATTTATATACAACAAAGTTCGTGAGAGACACGATTACGCTTTCGCTTTCCATTGCACTCCGAAAACGTTAAGCACTTCTTTTGAAACGCATATCTGAAGACATCTCGATGGAGAAAATATGCATTATGTTCTTCGTGCACCTTTCTTTTCATATTAGAAATATAACAGACTGATATAGTAATTATTCATGGTGGTAAATATGCAAGCTCAGCATCATTACATTTACTTCAGGTGTCGTGTTTCTGTATTTTATATTCTATATATTCACATACATGCTTACTTTATGTGTTTCCTTCATGTCTTAATTCTCATTCACTTGCTGTTTTCAGCTCTCATGTTCTGACTATGAACTAGCCATGGTTACAACTTCCCGTGCTTTGAGGTCAATGTGTAGTGTTAGCTTTGGATCTACCACGTATAGTTAGTTTTACAACTAATAGTTAAATAGTTTGAGTTAAATAGTTATTAGTAATAATTAAACAGGCTCTCCCACCTTTCCCGTTTTTACTCGTGGGTTGCATATAGTTATGTATAGACAGAATAGTGCAGTGAGAACGGCAGTTAGAACGGCGAGCAGTCCTTTGTTATTCGATATAGAAAGTTTAAAATACACGAACGAAAATGCCTACGCTCAACTTAGATTTCGCGTGGTCACCTGACCCCAATTCTCTCACCCCAACATGCGTCGTGACGCCGGAAGGCTGTCCCGATGAAATGAGATGGGAGGTCCTAGGCAGGGAAAGTTCATGCAACACTTTTTTAATCCTTTCAAGCGCAATGAGTTGCCTGACTGGTCAGAACGTCACTGGGCGCTTCTGTTCCAAACGAGGTATATTCTGCTCTTGGTTAAAACACTCCATATCACATCTGCCTCTCAATCCAAAAAGAAAATTTGGGCAACCACCAGGGTGGTGAAACACTGTTGAATGCTCGCGAATTGTTTAGTGAGCCGCCCAAAGACCCAACATTGCGCCCCTTCAACAACAATGAAGAGCCGTGCATGTAACACATTCGCAAAGAGGCTACTAGCAAACGCACATAAGCAAGAATGGGAGAGAGAGAGAGAGAAGAGAGAGTAGCATTTCTTATTTACACCTGACCCGCGCAAGCGAAAGTTACGGAAGTGAAATGGTAGCCAACATCTTTATCGTGCTTTGTAGTCGCACTGTACTTATTTGTTGTGGACACATCATTCGGATGTTCAATAAAAAGCACAGAAAATATGAAAATAGAATACTTTAGTAATTCCAGTTCTGATAGCAAGCCACGATCACCTCTAACGTCACAGTTATGAAAACATGGGGTTGCAGCCATCCACCGTCATTTCCCTCCCCAAGCTCTGGCCAGTGCCGTTATGTCGTTACCATTATGCCATTATGTCAATATACCCTTGTGCCATTAGACGCCTTACTAGAGTAAGCGACTCATAATGTCGACTTTCGTCTCCTGCACCACGGCAATCAAGTATGTCCAACAAATAAATAAATAAGAAATGTGCAGATGTGGTCGCCAGCAATATAATAATTTTAAGCCGTGATGAAAGTACTGAATCAGTTGGTATGGATGCTTGGATCTATGCTGATAAATTCCAAGCCATCACTCTACGCAAAACACAAATAAAAATTAGGTCCTTCGAGAGTGCTGAGTGGCTCCTTTGAAGCGTCCATCACGTGAAAAAATATTTTAGCTGCTCACCTACTTTCGCCAGATGTCCTGGATTACGCAACAGTTCTATAGGCGTGATATCACCCGCTGTAAGGTCATTAGTTTCTAATGGCACGCGCACATCTCAGAGATTTGCCATATTTAAGTTTAAAAGCCACCCAGCGAGATGGGGTGCTGTGCTTGCGCGGATAAGAGTTAGAGTAGTCACACGCGGCGGAGAGGCTGGCCCGGCGCACCGAAACGAGTAGCGAGGCTCTTTGGGTTTGGCATTGAGCGTCGACTGGGTCCGCGGGGGAGAACACCGGAAGTCGTTTTTCGTGGGTGTCATGGCACGAGTCGAACAGCCCCTAGGCCAACTTTGAAATATCTTGTGTCAAGTTATTTAGGTGATGTGTTTGGCTATCGTGTAAGATTGTTTTGCGTGTCTTTAGTGATTTATTCGCTTCTGCTAGCAGGCTCGGAAAAGATTACCGCAAGTTAATAAGTAACACACGTTAGTTTTCCTGATGATATCTACTGTGTTTGCGCGCTTGGATAAAGCACTGATCTTTTCACACTTGAGACCTCAAATAGTCGTTTTTTTCGTGTCATATTTTTCAAGAGCTTCTTTTTAAGCAAAGCTCACCGTGGTGTCATAGGTATAAATAAAATTTTGCTCCATGCAGAAAGAATAATTAATTTTAGGTTCGAAATCACATTCGCATTTCAAGAAAAGACTATGACAAGTTGGTTTTCATACGTACGAAAAGCAGTCGTGTAGTCAGGTACATGTCGATTGTGGAGGGAAATCACCCATGCACTGCTGAAGAATCTCAGTCCATTTAAGACGTCAAAAGAGCCTCCATTTATTCTCTTGTTTTTGAAGAGTTCAGTGCTATTTTGTAGCAGTGAAAAGCAAAGCAGTGCCTTGGCCGACTTTTTCGTAAAAAGGCGATTCTGCCAAACAAAACAGTGTTGCGCTGTAACTGACCGTGAAGAACTGGGCAACTTTGTCCAAAATGAATGCACAGCTTCTATATTACAAAAATGAAGCAATGACATCATGATGTATGCCATAGTTGGTCACTCCGGATAAAGTTTGTCGCGACCCTTTGAACACTCACCGAACTTAGACTGTGCCAACATTTGACCGCCATAAAAAACCTGCAGACGTGAATTGGAATTGAACCAAGGCCCGTTCGGTCGCCAGCAGAATACCATAGGCACCGAGCTACGCAATCCTTATCCCCGAGTTCACAAACGCTCCTGGACTCGACTTTCCCCCTTCACTTGGCAGAGTTGAGCAAATGCCACCTAACAAAATAATTCACGCCAACTCACTACTCCACACAAGGCCTCTGACGTCACTCAGTTTTAACACTCGTTTTCGGCCTAGTAGACGTGCGCATGCATGCTCCCACTGTTCGAGAAAGCAGAACTACTAAGCCTCTCAAAACCTGTTCGTGGAGTGCTGGTGTTTCTTTTGATGAGTGCATGAAGATGAACTGTGTTTTTCTACGTGTGTGAAGTGCTGCGGGGTGATGTGAAAAGCTTCGTTCACAAAGTGTTCGCGCAGCGTACATCGTCGAGCTCTCGCAATGGGGCAGTGCTGCGGACCAGGCTGTCATCAATATTGACGTTTAGCCGAAGGTTCTATGGTTTTCATTAACATTCTCTCCGTGATTCGAAGGTACTGTGTGTTACACTGCTTTAATTTGACTTGTTTTGAAGGCACTACTTTGAGCTCGTCCAGTTCTTTCTGTGAAATAGTGTCGTGTACGCTTCTGAACTGTTAGCAAAAACTTTGACCTTGAAAACTTTTAGCTGAGCGGCGCTGGCGCTCACCCCCGCGATAAAGTATGGTCCCGAGATATATAGAGTGCTAGAAATGGCGTATATTTTGCGTTTTCGACGAGCGCATATGCTCGTCAAAAACGACACGAAAATGACACGAAATGAAGAAGACGCAGCTTCACGCTACGCTCAATCAGCTGAGTTTCAGGTTTCGTTGCTCGCGCAACAAGCACATCAAAAATAAAACAATAATCGCCGCGTGGCAATGTATTCTCAAAACAGGCATTTTTTCTTCAGGGTCGGTAAACAATTTTCTATTTGCACATAGCACATCGGGCTTATTAAAATACCTACGGTTCCTTTGTTTGGATGAGAGAAGGAAGGCCAGCGCGTGGTGTCGTGCATCTGTTATGTATACTACGTAGTATTTCTTACCGCGGCTCCAATCTTTTTTTGGTGGCATAAATATCCACCAGTGTGTTGTACGTTCACCCAAATGATGTATTTTAATTATGTGCTGCTTCTCTCTAACTGAAATTGCATGACTTTGCATACCTCAATATTTTCCTGTTTTTAATATAGTTTTTCAATGGAGTAAAAAGCTTGTGATAAAGCAGTTTTGTAAATAGTTTTTTAGGGGCGAAGCTCCTTAAGGCGTGGGCTGTGCGTCCCCTGTATGTAGCCACCTCTCGTTTAGTTCTTGTAGTGTTCACTAGATGGGGGTACTTGTAGATGACAATGAAAAGATGCAAGATGTTATAAACTAGACGGCGGTACTTGTAGTTTATGATGAAAGATGCGAGATGTTATAAAACAGGAGTGATGTCACATATGGCGCGTGTCATTGGTGGAAGGCAATCGTTCGATTTAGTGCGGCGACGTACGCTAGGGGGAGCGTTGAATTAAAATCGAGTGGGGAAAATGTACGGAGGATTCATGGTTTACCAGGTTTACCTACGGAGCTTCGCCCACTCATCAGCATTCACTTCGTGGATATGGCGGCACTTTTTTCATATCTGTGAGCTCCGTTTCAAGCCAAAATACTTGAGGACGACTACCAAGTACACCAATCTAGGAACATGCAGAACAGAACAAAAGCGCTCACTCAGCAGAGAAAGCTGCAAAAGCTTAGCAAATAATAGGAACGCCTTGTGTGAATTTTCTGGACTGTTCATGTGTGTGTGAATAAATCAAACTAACCTTACTAATTTCGCCTTTTTGTTCGGCCAGCAACATAAAGTCTTATAGATCAGTCGTGTATCCGATAGCCTGAAATGTTTTCCAACGTCTATCATCATCATCATCATCATCGACATCATCATTATCATCTTTATCAGCCTGACTACGTCTACTGCAGGACAAAGGCCTCTCTCATGTTCCGCTAGTTAACACGGTCCTGTGCTTGCTGCTGCCAATTTATACCCGAAAACTTCTTAATCTCATCTGCCCACGTAACCTTCTGTCAGCCCCTACCCACTTCCCTTCTCTGGGAATCCAGTTAGTTACCCTTAAAGACCAGCGGTTATCCTGTCTACGTGCTACATGCCCGGCCCATGTACATTTCCTCTTCTTTATTTCAACTATGATATCCTTAACTCCCGTTTGTCCCCTAATCCACTCTACTCTCTTCTTGTCTCTTAAAGTTACACCTACCAATAATCTTTCCATTGCTCGCTGCGTCGTCCTCAATTTAAGCTGAACTCTTTCTGGAAGTCTCCAGGTTTCTGCTCTGTAGCTAATACCGGCAAGATGCAGCTGTTACATACCTTCCTCTTGAGGGATAGTGGCAATCTAATTGTCGGAATTTGTAAGTGCTTGCCGAATGTGCTACACCCCATTCTTATTTTTCTAGTTACTTCAATCTCGTGGTTCGGCTCTACGGTTATTACCTGCCCTAAGAACACATAGTCTTTTACAACTTGAAGTGCACTATTACCTATCTCGAAGCACTGCTCTTTTCGAGGTTGTTGTACATTACTTTCGTTTTCTGCAGATTAATTTTAAGACCCACCTTTCGGCTCTCCTTGTCTAACTCCATAATCATGAGTTGCAATTCGTCCTTTGAGTTACTCAGCAATGCAGTGTCATCGGCGAAGCGCGTGTTACTAAGGTACTCTCCATTAACTCTTATCCCTAACTGTTCCCATTCTAGGCTACTGAAAACCTCCTGTAAGCACGCGGTAACTAGCATTGGGGTGATTGTGTTTTCTTGCTTTACACCCTTCTTGGTTGGTATTCTGCTGCTTTCTTTGTGAAGCACTATGGTAGCAGTTGATCCCCTGTAGATTTCTTCCAGAATGTTTATATATGGAAAAAGGCCAAAGTTGTTCCTGTGCATAAAGAAGGATGCGGAAATGATATATCTAACTTTAGACCTATATCCCTGACATGTACAATCTGTAAAATCTTGGAGCACATAATTCTTAAACAAATAACTGTTTTCCTAGAAGAAAAACGTATATTATCTCCCTATCAGCATGGCTTCCGCCGAGGTCTTTCAACCATAACTCAATTAGTGGAATTAACACATGAGGTATCCCAGAGTATTGACAACCAAAAACAAACTGATCTAATCTTCCTCGATTTTGCCAAAGCATTCGACAAGGTATCACACAAGAAACTACTTCAAAAACTTGAGGCCACCTTAGGAAATTCTACTGTTCTTAACTGGATCAAAAATTATCTTACTGATCGTACACAGTATGTGGAATTTAACGATGAAACCTCTGCTACCACCTCCGTCACATCTGGAGTTCCGCAGGGCTGTGTGCTGGCGCCAATTTTGTTTCTTCTCTTTATTAATGATTTGCCTACAAATATTAAAGAAAAAATCAAATTATTCGCGGATGACTGCGTGCTATATCGAGAAATAAACTCAACAGAGGACCATGTAGCTTTAAATAGTGCTTTACAAGATGTTTCCTGCTGGTGCCGTAAATGGCAGATGTCACTTAATGCAAACAAGTGTACAATTTTATCAGTAAGTCGAAAAAAAACTAGGTCAAATTTTCTTTACACCATTAATGACATTCCCATAACTAGAGTAAGTCAGCATAAATATCTTGGAATTATTATAACTGAAGATCTAAGATGGGATGCACACATAAGTTACGTTACTTCAGCTGCACTACGCCGCTTGTTTACGCTCGGATACCGGCTTCGCCAGGCCCCGCCTTCTCTAAAACTGCTTGCATACACTTCCCTTGTGCGATCATTACTGGAATACGGTAATATTATTTGGTCACCATTCACAAAACAGCAAATCACGAAACTGGAAGGAATACAAAGGAAAGCTATGAGGTTCATCTACAACAAGTACAGACATACAGATTCTCCGACTGAACTAATGAAAAAAGCTGGATTACTTACTCTAATGAATAGAACAAAGTTAGCACGTGCAAAAATCACACATGAATTAATACATGGTCATTTAAACATTGATGTATCCGCCTATCTTACGTTTGATCAAACTAGAAAAACACGCCAAAAACACCCAATGAGACTTAACGAATACTCCTTCAACACAAACTGCTTTAGGTACTCATTCTTTCCGTTAGCCACTAATGAATGGAATAAACTGGATCCGAGTATCTCCAGCACTACCGAATTAGCAAAATTTCTAACCCTTGTCGAAAATGAACTTTGTATTATGCAAACGGAATCACCTGGTTGATCTTAATATGGGTGTTCGTGTGAACAATGTACGAGCGAAGTATCATGTCATCATATTTTTTCTTTAAGCAATTTTTAGTACTGAATCCAGGTGAAGAGAAATCGCCCTGTTGATTCTTGGACATGTTTCTGTTTTTCAGTGTGTATAAATTTGCCCTTCCTTGAAATACTTCGCCATATTGTAGGGTAGTTTCTTATTGCTGTAATTTCTTGTTGTGTTTCTTTATGTATATGCCAATATGTCAACCAATGTGTCAACCTAGTCGCTGCATTTATTTTCTTCTGACAACTTTTCTTTACACTAATGTTTTATGCCTTCTTTGATCTAAAATTGTTAAATGATCCGATTCTGTTAGTTTCATTCTGTACTTTATCGCGATGTATGCCTTTATTGTGTACCTATTCGAATTTTTATGTTCACGCCCTTCCTGCTAAAATCCCTGATGGGATTGGCAGTATGTCGAAATAAATAAAAATAAATAAATATACTTCATCTACGCCCTGATATTGCAGTGTCTGCATGACGGCTGATATTTTTATTGAATCAAACACCTTCACGTAATCTATAAAGGCTATGTATAGTGGTTGGTTATATTTTGAGCATTTATCTATTACCTGATTGATAGTAAGAATGTGGCCAATTGTTGAGTAGCCTGTTTGAAATCCTGCTTGTTCCTTTGGTTGGTTAAATTCAAATGATTTCTTTACTCTGTTAGCAATTACCTTTGTAAATAGCGTGTATATTACAGAGAGCAAGCTGATCGGCCTGTAATTCTTCGAGTCCTTGTCATCTCCTTACTTATTTATCAAGATGATGTTAGCGTTTTTCCAAGACTCTGGTACTCTTCCTGTCGGGAGACACCTCGTAAACAGGGCGGCTAGTTTTTCTAACACAATCTGTCCTCCATCTTTCAGCAGATCTGATTTTACCTGAACCTCACCAGCAGCTTTGCCTCTTTGCATACTCTCGAAAGCTTTTCTGGCTTCTTCTATCGTTACTGGTGGGGTGTCGTCTGGGTTACTGCTAGTTCTTATAGTATTAAAGTTGTGGTTGTTCCGGCTATTGTACACATCTCTGTAAAGCTCCTCCGCTATTTTAACTATCCTACCCATATTGGTAGTTATTTTGCCTTCTTTGCCCCTTAGTGCATACATCTGACTTTTGCCTATCCCAAGTTTCCTTTTCATTGCTTTGATGCTTCCTTTGTTTTTCAGAGCGTGTCCAATTCTCTCTATGTTATACCTTTTTACATCACATACTTTGCGCCTATTAATCAACTTCGAAAGAGCTGCTAGTTCAATTTTGTCTGTTGTACTTGAGACTTTCATGACTTGGCGCTTCTTAATTACATTCTTCGTTTCTTCGAAAAGCTTGCCAGTGTCCTGCCTAACTACCCTGCCTCCAACTTCCACTGCACACTCCGTAATTATACTCGTCAGACAATCATTCATTGCATCTACGCTAAGGTTGGTTTCCTCGCTAAGAGCCGAGTACCTGTTCTGAAGCGACACTCAGAATTCCTTTACTCTCCCTCTCAGTGCTAGCTCATTGATTGGCTTCTTGCATATCAGTTTCTTTCGTTCCTTCTTCAAGTTTATTATTCCAACGTCTATATGGAGTAATAAATGCTTACGAATAAATCACCAATAAATTTGGAGCGCTATACAATCCTTACACAAGCGTCGATCTGGGCACAAAGGGCTGAATTACCTGTTGTACACTTGTAAAACTTGGCGAGAACGTTTTATCTTTTCACAGAAGGCGGTGATGGCAGTGGCTACACAGCATCCCATGCGTGCTCGCTCGGACAAGGCGTGTGACCTCACGGCGGCAGTGAGCAGGTCTAATATCTATGTGGCATCGGTTGAACACTGCGCCACTGATACACTGAAAATGACGCTGCACTACTAAAGCATCACAGCAGACTATCGCGGATATGCAGTGACTTGCCGTGCATTAAGGCGGTGCTCCCATTGGTTATGTCAAGTGAAGCTGAAGCGTTCAGTGAAGGGACATTCTGTTATACTGAGGTTAGTCGTTAAGCTGCGTTCATTAGCTAAATGGGTTGGCAGTAGCAACCCGCAAGAAAGCCTACACTGTTTAATCGGAATGTTGCAGCACCAAAACAAATGCAGCAAACACTCCGAGTAAGCCTATCATACTCATGTAACCACTTTCGATGGTTGTGATTGGTACGCAGATGTTTGTAACGCTTATGCTATCATTATAACGTAGCGCAGTCATGTACAGCCGACCATAAAAGTTTACAGAGCGTGCGAGCGCATGGCCGAAAGCCTCTTCGCGACACTTCCGTTACGTCAGCGGCGGTCCACAGCACCGCAGCGCCTTGAAAGCACCCGCCTCTGATCGATGACATGTCTTGTTTCTGACGGGGTACAAATAATTTTCACCTTTCGCTTTTTCACCCGACGCGTTTTTGGCATCTGCGTCTACAAGCTCGTGTCTGGCCAGCACTCTATGAGCATAGCTGTTATCAGTCACAATCTTTATCACAAACTGACACACAGCCAACAAAATGCCATTTGAGGCACGGCGTGGCTGTTTCGATCCTCCACTGAAAACAGCGATATGATGGTCATACTGCAGATAAGCACTTAGCGTGAAAACCACGAACTAACAATGCGCTACGCGCCAGTACAAACGTGAAAGGCCAGTGAATAAGAAGATGACCCGTTTCCGGCCTATTACTACGATCGACGGTAGATGGCACACCGCTAGGTGGCGCGGACAGGAAGTTTGGCACGCGCTCGCATGGTCCGCAAACTTTTGTAGCTGACTGTACATAATGCGAGTGCTCTGAGCTAAGCTGGTAGAACAGAGTGCGTATCGCATAAAATACAAACGCAGTCTATGACGTCGACAAGAATACTGAGTGGTAGAAGTGATTGCTGTGTATTGAAAGCTCCACAAAGACATATATTGATTATGTACTGAAACAGGTCCAGAGGACCCAAACAGGTGACGTGGGTCTGTTGCCTAGCGTGTTTTTTGAACATCCCCACTCTCTTTTAAGCATATGCTAACGAATAGGTTTTTTTTCAGTACCACACGCTTTATTAGCAGCTACTTATGTTCAGCCTTCGAATTGTTTTTAAAGACTCTTCAAGTCTCCAACCCTTACGCTGGGGTCACTGAAACCTTATTGCCCAAATATCAAAAGTTGCTTTTAGGCATATTCGCAGTTAATGCCACCGTTTGGGGACGACCACTTCCACGCTTTAACAAATAAATTTTTCTGGTATTTTTTGTGTCTTCTGAAGAAACAATAACAAAATTTCACAATTGAATCTTCTTTTCTTCCTTTCATATATTTTCGCCAGAGAAGACGCTAGAGCGCACCTCATAACCACACTAGAACGGTGATTATTCAAATGGGTTAGTGGCGCGGCTTTTAGCAATTACTCGGCGTCTCGAAAGCCTGATACCTTCTGGAGCCATATATTACATCAAAGTGTAGGCATCGAAAATGTGCCAAGGTATTGCACCACGTTTTCTTTGCACTATCGTCCGGTGAAAATTCAGTGCCAAACGTCATTGCGTCATTGTCGCGTTTTCCAGTTCGAATCGCTAATATCCCACGGTCTCATCAGGCATCAATACACTGGTGTTATTTGCGTGCTCACTTTGTGCTGGAAAATTCTTGCGGTGGTACAAGATATCGCACGCGTGTGCCCATAAGCGCACGAAAACAGATGCGGCCACGGTGCCTCCGTCTTTGCCCTGTGAGAGCGACTCAAAAAAGTTTTGCGTCCCGATTGGATGGCTTGTCACCGTGTGCTTCACTCTATCAACAGCTCTGGCGGGGGAGAACATTCATTCCTGTAACCCCGAATAAATTTTCTGTTCGCCTTCCGGTTTCGGCACTTGGCCACCGCGGGGATGCCACGGCAGAAGTGTGTCGCTGGCACGCCCTAAATTTGCTGCACGGGAGCCATGATTTAGGCGCACGGTGATGGATCTACCAGTCTATCCAACATTTGTCCTGTCTGATGAGCGAGTGTCTCTAAAACTATGTTGCGAGTTTTTTTCAACGTGACTGACGAAAGTTTGGTACTGCCTTTGATGTGGCACTTCGAGAACAGTTGATTCCGACATTACCCTGCCCCATAAATGAGTGGCTTTAAGACAATCTTCCGAGTTTCTTTAACGCTACAGACGAAAGAGTGAAACGGCCTGTGGAGTGCCGCTTGAAAAACAGGTTATGATTTCTTTTTGTATAATTCTGCGGTACGTGCACCCGGACAATGTGAGCACTACCATCTAACAAGTGGCCTTTTTGTTGTAATTTACTTTATTTAAAACTAGGCAAAAATAAAATAGCACTGTTGTGTCTGCAATCGGCTGCCTTGAGGCGGCGCTGCTATTTTTCGCCATACATCTCTTATGCATAAGTTGTTCGCTTAGAGGTTGGTTATTTTGCTTGTGCCTTGCCAGACGCGGTACGCAGACGTCTTAAGAAGAAAACGGGGATTCATTCTTCGCAAAAAAGTACAAAATTTATATTTGTTACTTGCCTGTATTTGAAAATTTCCTGATATAGTAATGCATAAAGTCTGCAAAGGTACTGGTAGATGAAATAGATTTGTTCATTGAATTTGTTTCCGTCGAGGTTCCTTAAAGTGATAAAGATTTACGCGCATGTGAAATTTAATTATTAAAAATGTGTGTTCTCACCGGTTCTTGTAGCTGTCACAACATGCCTCGTCGCCTTCTTGCCCCTTGTCTCTAACTTCATGGCCTCTTTCTTTTTGTTTGTATGCTGAGTGTAATCCATGACTGTGGCAGTTATAACGATGACCAGCACCAAAACAATAAATATTCTGTTGGAAGAGAGCAAATACTATTTTTTTATTTCACTACACATATAGCCTTTCAAGACAGTTGCTATCGTGGCACTATAATACATCTCAGCTAATGTGCGAAGGCGTCTATAATGAATAATTATCAATGACGAAAAACTACAGACTAAAATACACACGTCATATGTGTGTGGCTCACAGTAAATGAGACGTGAAACGTTAAGCTATATTTTAGCTAGGCTACAGTAGCTTCTACAAGATCATCTTCTTCTGTATGAATTGGTTCATTTTCACAGGAAAAACATAACATACAGAGAGGAAGAGTATGAATATCGCTTAAGACCAGTGCGGTTTGCCCAACAACACAGTCTAAGCACCGATGCCACTACACGTCTCTATCTCCTCTGTTCGGCACACTCGCAAAGATGAGTTTCAACGTTTACCGCAACTTACGTTTGTAAGCGGTGCACATAAAAGTTCATATTACAAACGTTGAATACTATGGCTCCCAATTCCACTGTACTGATTGAATATCAAGCACTAAACTTTTTCCACAAGGAATATAGAGAGACGCCTTCTAGGCTACATTCCAACCATGCATGAAGAGGTGCTATGCCCGTTCAAAATATTTTTGCTAAGATGTTGATTTTGTCTTCTAGAACTTCGTTAACATTGAGATCCGAAAGTATGTTTTAGTGCTGAATAAGCAATGAAAATTTGACTTGAAGATGTTCCTATCAGCACAAGAATACACCTCAAGCTTTTGGATACAAGAAACATACGTGACAACAACGGCAGGGATATCGGACGCCAGCGCCCGGATTCCTCTTCGGCATCTCGTTGATGTTGAGTTACCGCTGCAGCCAGCTTCACACAAAACTCAAAAAAAGAAAAAAAATTATTGCGTTAAAGTGGAGCATTTTATAGGAACCGGTGTCTTTCTACGTATTCTATCAGGCTTCTTTTCAGTCTTTTCCAGTAGAAAATTATTTTTTGCCCACACATAAAGATTATCAAACAAAAACACAAACGTACAGGCACACACACGTGCGTGCACTTGCACTGAAAGATAGCAACCAGTTCTTGCAGAGTGAGTGGAGTAGTAAGTTTTCTTACATGAGGCGAGAAACCATGGTATAATTGCTAAAAAATGGCCTTTAAAAACAGTCATAATTAATTCGATTTCAATAGGCACGTTGCCTACATCACATTTTACATAGGAACACAGTTTTAGAGTTTTGCACATTAACATCCTTTCAGCCTATCAGACACATCATCACGGTATTATACGAAATAGAGACTGCTTGTAGCACAGCACTTTCTAATTAAATCGTATAAGGAAATTCGGTTTCCGCGGAACCATGATGACCACTTACCAAATGTAGCAATTGCACTGACGTCTTCATTGGTGCAAGTAGATGGTACACAAGCTCCAATAGTGATATCCGCACCAGATAACTTCTTGCATATAGAACTTACTAATCCCTGAAGTACAATGAAACATTATGCTAGAAAACTAAAACAATATTGCCAAAGGGAGTGTAATTTTTACGAAAAACATATTATCGGGATAACTTTCATTGTAAAAGCTTGCAATCTGATTTCTAGTTTAAAAACCAACGCCGGTGATTTTCCGAGGTCAATGGAACTCAATGAAATTCGCTTGGCACGTTCCGTTGAACATTTCCGTCATTTATGCCAAATTACGGGCTTGAGAGTTGCGTTGACTGTTTGCAAATGAATTTTAAATATTGCTTTGAAAAGCTCATCTCGCTTGCCAGAATTATTGGCAACACTGTCTGTGTGACGTCATGTTTGGCATGTCATCCGAAATGACGCAGCCGATGGCATTGCTACTTCAGCCACTACAGCGTTTATTGTGCTGTCCACAAAGTGACCGTGTCGGTCTTTGGCATGGGAATATAGCACGGGAATATATCACGGGAAAGCTTTTTTCCTTCCTCGGCGGTGTTTGAACAGCGCTTCACTGGTCTGGTTTTCACAGTTTTCATACTACGCGCACTCGGAACCAGCCTACCACCTCCAGTTCTTACCGAATAGAACGTCATACGCAGACAGGGTGCCCGGTCAGGTTGCAGTTTGGTTTTGCACATTTTTGCCTATTAAAATTCATTTTCAAATTTTCTCAGCATTCCAGAATTAGGCTCATGACAAGAGTGTCTCATGAACATAACATCATTACCTTGACATGGTTGAAAAATTGCCAGAGTTGGCCTTTGAGGTAAGCTTCATTTATTACACATCGACAAAAGCAAGCGCACCTTTAGGGTATTGTCCCAGCCTATCAAAATAGAACGCTCTTTAGAGCGAAAGAAAAGGTAAAGTCCAGATTTCATCTTCGTTTGTTAGGCAGAATATAATGAGAAGTAACGCACCATAATTCGAAGAAAAATATAGGGGACAATATTACAAGTGATTGTTGTGAAAAAGTGAAGAAGGAAAAAAGTGGATGAATCTGTAGCTTGCCATTGGTAAAGAACGCACCTGCGACCTTCCAATAACGCGTCCGATGCTCTATCACTGTGATATGGTTGCAGTCATCCCCGCGTGCCCGTTATAGGGTAGCCATGTGCATTTAGGTGTGTGTGTGTGTGTGTGTGTGTGTGTGTGTGTGTGTGCGTGCGTGCGTGCGTGCGTGCGTGTGGGCGTAGTCTAGAGACGAACAGTGACACATAAAAACGGGCGGCCCAGGAGATAAAAAAGTTATTGTCACTGCCACTGCCTTGTGTATATAAGGGAGTGCGAACATTTACTCAAGTGGATAGTTGCTTTTGATATCAACCCCTCTAACAAATGTGTATTAGTGGAAATTAAACCATTATGACTACTATTCTTGTGGAAGACGAGGAAGAGTAGCGCAGAACACGAACAGCTGGCCCACAGCAAGGGCGCTGTATCTTGTGTCTTTATTTACAATTGCGTAATCTACGACCAGTGAACCATCTGCCGACTCGCAGGTCAAGGGATGGAATCTCAGCTTCGGCGGCTGCATTTCCGATGGAGGAGAAAACATTGTAGGCCCGTTTGCTCAGATTTTGTTGCACGTTAAAGACCCCCGGGTGGTCGAAATTTCCGGAGCCCTTCACTATGGCATCTCTCATAATTATATGGTAGATTCGGGACGTTGTATCTCACATATCAATCAAACCAGTGAACCGTAAGTGCGTCCTCGAAGTCCTTCGGCGCTGCGGAACTTCTGTAAGAGGAACGTCCTCAATCCTGCAGCCCTTGTTACTCCTACTGCAAAAAGACCCCAACGTTCGCCTTGTGCTAAGCACCATTTCCAGGAAAGAAGCTTAGGTACCTACCCTAGCTAGGCTCGCTGCCATCAAAGACCCGATGGTTCAAGTCATGTTTCCAGCTGATCACGTGGCTTCTGACCAAGAAGGCTCTATTGCGCGTGGACTAAAGAAAAAGCAGCTTGAGCATTAGCCCGAAAATGAGAGCACTGAAAGAGGGTGATACTACAAGACTTGAACTTGACCCTGAGCGTTTGCCTATGCCTATCAACCCACTCCTATACCCCTCAATGTCCCACAAGCATCGCAGACGCCGACGCTTAGTGGAGAAGGTCGTGGTGCAGTATGAACAATTTCCTGCATTACAACACAACTTCCACAAAATAAGCAACTCGAGACCAACTAACAAATGCATTCACTTTGTAGGAGGCGGTCTCGTGCGGGTGGCAGGTTTTTCAAGTCACCACGGGAGTACCCAGCGTGGCCGAGGTCCACACCAGCCATCTTGACAAAGCTAGCTTTGTCTTTCAGAATAAATGGCAGTTGAGCTGTACAAGCTGCTGCGTCTACTGAACCGACAGGAACGACTCAGCCAGTGCGTCCAACCACAGACATTCACAATTGTGGAAGACAAGAAAGACGAGGGCAGAATAAGGACAGCAGGCTCACAGCAAGGGTTCAGTCTCTTGTGTCTTCCTTTACCCTACATACATTCGAACTTGTCAACATCAAGGCAATTGTTTTTGGCTGAACCTTATTATAAAGCTTGAACTCAAAAAAGTTAGCCTTTTTTTAGGCAACAAAGGAAGCAAGAATAATTTTGTTCTAGGAGTGGCAGGCTGCCACCTCAATATATGGCAGAATGTCAATTTACAAGCCCAGACAAACAGCTCAAATTAACTTATGAAACACCCACCTGTTTGTCAATTTCCTGCTCAGAGTGAAGATGTATGGAGGTTAGACAGTAAGTGCTTGTGAAGGCGGGGAGGTGTTGCGAGTACTTGTTTGGAGCCGATAGTTCGGCAGCTTTTGGCAGTGCTTCAAGGCACTCCGAAAACAAGCCTAAGAAAGTGCGTCCTCCCATCATGACACCACTCTCCATTTTACCCGTACTGTCGAACACTGCAAATAAGATGCACTATTTTTAGACACAAAAAAAGAAAACTCACACAGAAACTTTACGCTAATAATGTTTTGATGATGGCACACTCCTATCCCTTCAAAATGCACACATAATTTAAAGGCTATAATTTTAGCAAGAACCATAATACAAGGAATTTTATAAAGCTTACAGTCTTCCGTGTTGTTTGAAAATTACAATAATATTACTTATTTTTGGTTTAACAAGCGTGTTCTCGGGAAGAGTTTTTGCAAGTGACGCGTCGCACTAAGCAAGACAGCTGCAGTTCAGAAAGCAGCAGGCCGAGCGTGCGACGCATGACGGCCATGATCTTTTCTCTCGCTGGCGTAGAGCTATCGCCGACGTTCACCGGTACAATTTCTCCCCTAAAAAAAAAAGGAGCAATCTTGCCAACATAAAGAAAAAAAGCTATAGGTGGTCATACCAGGGTTTAAGCCACGTGACCAGAATAGTTTCGCGGCCTCGGCAGCGATGATCAGGTGAGGGGTCGACCGGCTCGATGATGTTTACACAATGAATAAACTTGGCTATGCAACCAACAGGTTATAATAGCTATGGGGAGACAAGTTCAAGTGTCACGGTCAGTGTTTCAAGGTTTATTGTGTATGAGCCCGATAAAATACCGCAACTTTACATCTTTGATTTTGTGGGAAAAGGTTTCTCTATAAAGCGATTGATACTAGAAAAATTGGCCCCGTACCTGCATGTAACCTGCAAATGTTGTCAAAAGACGATAGTCTTGTGTGTGGAGAGAGTGAACAAAACTTTTATTTGATATTCCGCGCAAGAAAATTGGTGAATGGTGTTCCGGAGGCGCTGCGTTGGAGCGGGCAGCGGTTGCTCACGAGCTGATCAAATCATGTCACACGTGAGCCATGAACGCCATCTGGCAGTTTCTTCTGAAAAACAAAGTGCGTGCCTGTGCTCGCTCGTCTCAGAGGTGATAAGGTGTAGAACGCGAGGCGACGGGTAGGTGGCAGCACCATCTCGCTTGAGCAAAGCGTTGGAAACATTTCGCGTTCCGTGCAAGCTTTGCATGGTAAGCGCAGCGTGATAAGCGCTACAGTCTTTAAAATTACTTATGTATGCGTTTAATAAAAATATATGCATGTGCAGAATATATGCGGGTTGTTATGGTGCTCCAGACATGCGCAATATTTGCCTTTTAGGTCAAAATAGCACAAGCATGAACGCTCAACCTTGAGCAACATTGGTGGTCGCTGCAGATAGGGTCGGCCGTTTCAAGTACCCGATGCCGGTAAGAGTAAACAAACAGACAAACGTACCGACAAACAGACAGACCAAAATTTTTGCGTCGAAGGTCTCCAAGAAAGACTAACGTCTTTAAAAAAGCCTTTTATGTAACCAAAGAGAAATTCTAAATCTCAATGCGGCACGGCCGCAGTAAATCTTCAGGCACCAGGTTTCTGTGAACATTTATCTTTGACTGATTGAGTATTAAGCAAGAACATCTTTGTTAGAGTCGTCATTCACTCAAGCTAGGCTGACTCTGATAGCATTTTTCATTGGATAATCTTACAAACATGCAGAAGTCATTGATTATTTGTAGAAGCTTGTACTTATTGCAAAATATTAGCCATTCAAAGCTACATAAACCACAACTTTTCACTTTTTGATTCTTAGTTTCAGCACTCACCAAGGTGTGTTTAAACGCGACCTATATTTTCAGTAATATTTTATACAAAAAGTTTGATTGTGTGCATCTCAATAACCATTTCCGAAATTGCAACAAAACTAAATTGCGTTAAGCCACTTTTGAAAAACTTACCTTTTCAAGGACCACCAGGCTTGAAGTTTAATTGTGTTTGGAAACAGAGTCATGCAATTCTTTGAAGTCAAGGCAACGTACAAGATAAACTTATTACAATGAATTTTTTAGCGTACGACTGCTACAAAATTATATTGTACGCGTTACAATCAGTGCGAAATCTAACAAAACATCGAAATAAACGACAACCTATGTTCAGGTGCCTGTGGTGACTTCAAGACATTTTACAAAATCATAAAATGAAATTATCATATGCCATTTTGTGGTGACTTATGCGTTAGTTTATTGTAGACACAAGGTTTAAGAAATTCCTTTTCAAGCCTAAGGAATACAACATTCTCCAATATACGTACTTTTTGTAGCCCAGTCGGATCCACTTTGCAGGTGTTTCACGTAGAGAGAAATGTCGTGTCGACACCTAGGGCTTATTCCAACTTCGGAAGCAAGCAATTCTTCAGGAACATACCCAAGGCTGTTGGACCACCTCGTTAAGGCAAGCGATGCTTCAGCCAACAGCAAAAAGTAAGAGAGTGCCAGTATTCGACAGTAGAAATTTCTAAAAAAGAGGAATCGTGGATGTTTGCCATATGACATCGTCTTCTATCTCAGCTATGCAGAGTCAGGGCGAAGTATGATTGGAGAAGCCCGAGGAGCTCCAGTTCCTGAAGAAAAATTATAGCAGAAGAAACGTCACCATGACATTTATATCTTCAGGTGCCACCTGTAAAGAACTGTTTGTAAATTTGGGAGACTGGTACACTGTTGAATTCAAGCAGACAATCATTTTTTATTAAATATTATCGTGACAATATAATAAAAGTCTGTTATAATAACTAATCCTAAAGGGTTCATGACAAAGTCACCTTCCAATGGACGGTTTTTGTCGAAAAGCGAACATAAAGGGTAAATTGTGCTTGTACATGTGTGAAAACTGAACAATAAGAGATTATTTCAGACCGAAATAGGTCATAGAAGTTATCGGCTGCAAAAGCCGTCCACCAGCGGCGACCGCCATTTTTTATGGCGTGCGTCATGTCACACGTGGAAGGAACAGTGTCGTCGTCTGCTACCAAACACCCGCTTATGCAAGCGATTAGTATGGCGAGTGTTGCTAGCCGCATGGCCTGCGCGTTTCAGAGGGCTGCAAGAGTCGCGTTGTGTTACCGGTACCATCACCATGTGCGGAGACGACGTCGTGTACGTTGCACATTTTGACTTCGACTGCATCGCCACCTTCTCAAGCGAGGAAGAAAGTGTCGAAGCCGGTGTGAACCAAGATGTCAATGACCCTCACCATTGTAGCAGATGCTGGAGATGGCTTTTGCAATGATAAGCAGCTGTCTTTCAAGCGTGTAAGGTTAAAAAGCGAGCTTGGGATACAGGGCTTTGTCGAAGCTGCATTCGCGAGTTAGTGTTACTTGGTGCCATGGAATTTGCAAAGCGTGTAAGTTTTTGTTGGCTAGAGCTGTTGCATACACGACTTTCGGTACTGAACATAATAAATAGGTGGTCGTAGCAACGCTTCTTATTGGGGCTGTTGCTTTTCCAATCGGTTGTTTCGTGCGGCATCTGTAAACTTTGGCCGAAGTGAACGGCATGTGAGTGTGGTACAAGGGTTGATCACAATATGTATTTTGGCGGAATCTTTACTTGATTTCTGTCGATGACATTCGGTTGCCGTAAAAAAATAGCAAGTGTGATGCTCATCCGTTGCACTGCCTACGAAGATTTCCAATAAATATTTATTTGTAGTGGCAAATGGCATACGAAATGCACAATCACAGGAAACTTCTTGACCTCCTAAATTGCTCGCTGCAAGCGCCATCACTACATGGGTGACGCGGTGGCATTCTTTCAACCCCTGCAAGTACTTTAGCTCCAGTGAAAAGTTTAACAATGCCGAAAAAACACCAGGCCTGCACTGAAGGCGCAGCACAGTCAGAGCGAAAGCTAAAAGAGGGACCTTTCAGAGCCTTTTATAAACACTCAATGGGTAACTTCTGAAAGCAAGCTTGCTGGGTATTCACTACGGCATAATAATAAAAATGTCTGTGTGGTATACTGTCATTCGGTATGCAAATAAGATAATGTGAAAGTTCGCTTGCAAGTGCAGCTGACCACAGAACACGATGGTCTTCCTGAATTCATACCGTGGAGCAGCTGTTCCAGCAAGCGGTCCCAGCTAGCGAGGACTCCCGTGTGGCCCGACTCTGAAGCCACTCGCTCGTTTATAAAAATATTCGGTTAAAAATTAACGGTTCGACCAAATTCACTTAAATTTCGTCTACTTGACTGTGAACGTACAATAACCAACCCACAAAACAAGGATTGTGGTTGAAAATTGGGTCACAGGACCCCTTTAACTAGGCTGTCAAAATTATATATGGCAAGATGTTTCTTTTGCATGTCCCGCGCACTTCCGCCACTTATGAGACGACGTAGGGTACGGTAGTAGCGAGGTTATACTTCTATGCAGACGCGCGAGAGCAAAAGTAGCCGGGGCCGCACGACCAACGATGATTATTGTTACAACGGTTTGGTTATACAGATGAAGATGAAGTACATAGTAAGCGCTCACAGTATATATTAGAAAGCTTTTTTGGCTCTGTTTTGGCCTATGTAGAATAAAATGCCTAGCTAGAAATAATGAGAATGATGCTCTAGTAGTCTGAAAGCTCTCCACCCGACCATACCTAAAACAAGTGGGGGAGGTCCCTCAGAAGCTCACTTCTCGCCGACCAGCAATGGGCTGTCTAGCAGGCCCACGAAACGGTTGCCTGGTGCTCCCTGTCAGTCACTCGTGGGCGATGCCCGCTACCCGCTCAGCGCGTCCTGCACGACAATAATAGAGTTTTTTTTTTCAATTCATTTCATGCTCGTCGCAAAGCTAGCGTGACACGTGCTGCACGCCCGTGATGCGTGTGGCACACTAACGGGCATATTAATAGCGGCAACCGTGGTGCTGCCGGCACAACCGACGAGGGACCGCTTTGCACACAAGGGAGGGGAGGGGGGGTGTGCCCTGGCGAGTTCAAGGCGCAGGGGCAAGTGCTAGTGCCCATGTGCTTTTTAACGTGCAGTCTTGTAACTGTACTCTAAGTTCATGGAAATAAACGTTAATTTCTGTGTTTCACCAGACAATATCATTTCTTTGGCAGTACGTTGGTGCGAGCCTTTCCAAACGCTCTGCAAGTAGAAGTTTCAGTATATCAATTTAAGTGCATTTTTTTCACATTGCTCACAGAAAGCAGCGCATCGAATGACTCATCAACATAGGGATCATATGCAACGGTTTGCTGCTAAAGAAAGTATATAATTACAAATTTATTTTGAAAAAGGTTGAATATAACCAAGACGCAGTATATTCGCCTTTTTCTTAGCCTTTAGTTGAACAAGTAGCAAGAACACGTGGTGTACACAGATTTGTTCACTGCCTGGCAAAACACTTAGTATTCGAGTTTTTTTGCGATAGAAATTATATCAAAACTCTCGGCTGGATTTTGCCGCTGGCGTCACTAACCGTATATGTATAGGTAAATAAATATATGAAAACGCAAACACGAAGAAAGTTCCAGAAAATACTTAGGCATGCGGAATCGAACCTGGAACCCCTGAAACATGACTGATGCGTTTGCTACTGAGCCACGGAGCAGCCCGTCCTGCAACATTCAAACTGCAAGCTATTTATATGTACCACTTATCTCTGGTGACGGCAATTACGGAGGGAAGGGGGATCATTGTGTTTTCAGCATTACCACCAAGATGAAGCAGTCAGCGCACGGTGGTGGCGCGCACTTTTATCTTTCACGCGTACTTTGCCTCCCGGAAAGGAGGGGGGTGGACGTAAAGCCCCTAGACGATCACTCGCGCGCCCTTATCTCGTGAATGGGAGGGTCGCACGTCTTGACTCGCCTTTAGCGTTCACTGGGGCGATTCTGTTGTGGTTACAGGGCACCCAGAGGTCGCTGCTATTGTTGCGCAGTCTCTGTTTGCGAAAAGAAAGTGCTTTTCATATACGCGAATTAACAGATGAGACGCATATTAGCGTTTATCCGTACCTGTGAGTACGTTTTGCTCGTTATTTGTGCGTGAGAAATGCGGGCCAAGTTTCTATCTACTTGTCATTCTGCACGGGATCTTCCAATTTACTATCGCGTTCATTGATTCGCCTTTGCGGCAAAACTGATTTTTAAATTATATTTGCTGTAACAGATATTGGCTGTTGAAGTCCTTCTAGAGCATAAGGGTGGTAGCTGAAGTTTATTGTATATAGCTAGAAGAAACAAATAATCATCCCGCGACAAGACGCCATCAACAGGCAGCTAAAGAAGTCACAGTTTCGCCGCGAGGATGAAGGAGACAAACGGGAAGAAGCTCAATTTATGTACCACGATGTTCAATCACAATGGGCGCCTCAAAATAACACTCGCAAGACGAAGTTGAGCTAACTGCTGTCGCAGCTCAACTTTTGAAGCGCGTCAACCAGACATAAATAAGGACGCAAGAAACAGAGGCATATTACAGGGTTACAAACCATAGGGCACTAACGCTACTTGTAGGGTACTTTGGGAATTCGCGAGGCAGTGTTGAGCAAGGGGGCGATGACGTAGGGCAAATTAAACATTTTTCTCGTCATTGGTAGGGGGAAAATGTCGAAAAACCACGCGACATGTCGAAAGTTTGCGTTCGTGGAAAAATCAAAACTGAAGTTCTCTTAATTCCAAAGTCACTAGCATGAAAGTGAAAAGATAATATGTCAAACATGTTCGTGCTAGGTTTTTTTCACCTCTATATTGTCTTGATTGATATGTGGGGTTTAACGTCCCAAAACCACTATATGGTTATGAGAGACGCCGTAGTGGAGGGCTCCGGAAATTTAGACCACCTGGGGTTTTCTATATTGTCTTCCATCTGTTCCTTGCATGGAGGGTCTTGTAAGTTTTGGGTTGTTGATGATGATGTTATATGTGGTTTTGTGGCGCAAGGGCCATTTGGTGGCCAAAGTGACCCTGTCATAGGACAAGAAATGTGAACAATTAGTATGATAGATGGCTGATAAAGGCCTAAAATTTGCTGCGCTAAGGTGGGTAAAAACGGAAGTATAATGAGGAAAGAAAGATGTTCATAATACCGGCTCAGCTATCGTCACCACAAGACGAAAGCACAAGACCGGCGCCAGAGCACCATTATCTGGTTCCATCCACGTGCTCTTCAAGTTTTCACCTTCTTGTTCGACTCGCTCCATTATCATCTGTAGATTATGGTGATGGGGCTTTGTACCTAGCGCTATCCAATCTCAAAAAGTGCGAAGAAGTGCCAAGAAGAGCGTCATCTGAAATGCGACAATTTTCTACCCTGAAACTTAAGATTCTCTGTCACGTCATATATAACGACAGTATAATTCCATACTCGGCTAAACTACGTGCACTCACCGACCTCCGCAAACCAACGACTGTGCAAAAGTTACGGAGCTTTGTAGGCTCATGCTCCTACTTTTGTCTGTTCGTGCGCAACTTCACCTATATCAGTACGCTTTTGACACGTTTTACGCAGTCACATATCTTGTGAAGGTCTTTGGAGTGTAACCAAGCATTCCCCACCCATCGTAGTCTCCTCACTTCACCACCAATATTGCACCACTAAGATCCCATGGCGGGAACTACAGTGACTCCAGTGGCGTAGGCCTCGGCGCTGTTTTGGCCCAACCAAAGCTGGGGTTTGCTGGGTATGTCGTCGATTATGCCAGCAGAACCCTCACTAATTCTGATTGGAACTATAGGGCCACATAAAAAGAATACTGGGCGCTTCTCAAGTACTGCCCCTAGATTGATGGCCGTGCTTCAAATGTAATAAGGGGTGACCACGCATTATGCTACTTGTCTTCACTCAGAGATCCATCGAGTAGCCTTGGCCGTCAGGCTTTCCACATTATATACCAATCTAGCTGGAAGCATGGCTAGGCTTATTCTCTGCAGCGGTGCGACATATTATTCTTCTTTGCAACCACTTCTCCTGGCCACACGCTTTCAGCTCTTGATTTCGACGCCATCTCGTCATCACAATGCAATGACCCATGGGAGCTTCACATCTTGACGCGTTATCTGAGACACCCACACTTTTGACCTCTCGAGCACTGCAACGGCAGGTTCCTCACTTCTATATTTTGATTGGCCTTTTCTACCAGCACAGCTATTGAACAGTAGGTCGGTCGTTGCTACAAGTCATCCCCGTATGAAGCGCTGTACAATCTGCTCGTCGTTTCATTCTGAAACAAAATGTGCTCTGGATGGTGTTCTCAAGTCATACCAGTGACTACGGAAAAGGCATTACTGCTTTTCACGTCAAAGTGCATTGCATTGATGTCTTCAGTGACTACCGCCATGATGTCCTCAAGGCACACCTCACAGAAGTTGTGCAGCAAGAAGTTCATGAGGTAAGTCCGCAAAGTTCCTAGTGGATGTACACTGTTGAAACTACGAAGCCCTTCATTGTTCTAGCGGGAAATTCGTCACTACAGCTCATCTGGGGCAATGAGTTTGTTCGTCTAAAGTGATAGTTGGGGTGCGAATTTCTATAGAAGCTAAACTCACATGAACGACTGGACCAGCACCTTTCCGAATAGTCCTGGACTTGATGCAAGCAATTTTTTCTAATGCTTCGGTGTGAAAGTGCATGCAGATATAAAATGGAAGGCCCCTTTTATCCAATTGAGCGAACTTCAGGGAAGGCACCTCTGCATTGACAGGGCCACCAGACATGGCAATGTTTGCGGAAAGTATATATGACCTGTTCCATCAATGTGCATGTTTCGTTCAACAATGTTTCTTTTAAGTAAATTGACAGTGAGCCAATGGTAAGTAATGTGTATGCATAGATTGCCATTAGCTAGACCGCGTGAGTGACGTGAACAAGTTGGTGAACACAGCGCTCTCAGGAAGTAGGGTTCAATTGTTCGAATCCCCAGTAGGCGCCTTGAAAATTTTTTCTTCTCACTTATTTTAAATGCTGAGCATATCTTAACGAACTTCGGTGGCTTTGAGAGTATCTATCTATCTATCTATCTATCTATCTATCTATCTATCTATCTATCTATCTATCTATCTATCTATCTATCTATCTATCTATCTATCTATCTATCTATCTACCTATCTATCTATCTATCTATCATGAATCTATCTATCATATATCTATCTATCGTGAATCTATCTATCATATATCTATCTATGGATCTATCTATCAATCTATCTATCAATCAATCAATCAATCTATCTATCTATCTATCTATCCATCTATCTATCTATCGATCTATCTATCCATCTATCTATCCACGTAAGTCTTTTAGCTCTCGAGGCCGTTTCGATAATGGTATCGATACCAAACTTGGTATGGCGTAACAACTGTAGGGCGACCATATTTGACTAGTCATAACATGAAAATCAACAACTGGGCTCAGTGAGGTCAGGAGGACAGATGAGGCCTATACTGTGCTACAGAATGGGCACGTCCTTTGCTATCGGGGCTTGGCAGACAGAAGAGAACTGGGAGTGGGGTTCCTAATTCACAAAAACATAGCTGGCAACATAGAGGAATACTATAGTATTAATGAAAGGGTGGTAGGTATTGTAATTAAACTGAATAAAAGATACAAGATGAAGGTAGTACAGGGTTACGCGCCTACATCCAGCCATGATGACGCTTCAGTTGAAAGCTTCTATGAAGACGTGGAATTGGCAATGAGTAAGGTAAAAACACAGTATACAATAGTGATGGGCGACTTTAAT